GTGAGCGGGCACACGCCAGCACACGTGGGGGCGCCGCTGCGAGAGGCCACAGTGGGGAGGGAGGCCGCCCAGGCTGTACGCGAGTGGTAGTCATCGCCTCCTTCCTCGTAGCTCTCTTCGTCGTCGTGGTCATCGTCGTGGTCGTCTTCGTCCTCGCTTTCGCCGCGGCGCTCGTCCTCGTCACTGGTGCGATCTTTGTCGCCGAGGAGCGCCGAGATGCTGAAGGAGAGGCGGGAGCGTTTGGCGCGCTTGTGGGTGGGGTCGCCGAGGTGTCCTGACGAAGGACGCAGGGCGGTAGGGCAGAGTGGAGGTTCCGGAGATCCTGGACGACTGTCGCCGTCGACGTTGATCTCCTCCTCCTGCTCAAGCTCCACAGCGGTCATGTTGGCACGTGGGTGAGGGTGTGTGTTGAAGGCTTCGGGCGGCCGGAGTGCGGTGGTAGGGGAAGGGGGGGTTGTCGCTACACTCACGCTCTCTCACAGGACCGAGGACACGAACGCCCTCGCTCGACACACACTTAGAGGTGAATGGTTTGACGAGTGGATCTCGGCCCTGGCTCATCCGTGCGCTGGCTCCTCCCACCAATTGGGACGGGCGGGGCGAGGGAGGGGCTTCGCCGCAATTGGCTAGCTGGAAACTCCGCCTCTTCCTTGCGCCCCGTGATTGGCTGATCCTAAGTGATGGCCACAGAGTAAAGCCTACAAGATAGGAATCGGAAAGGAGGAGGCGGCTAGCTAAGTTAGGTGAGATTTTCTGCTAAATGAACTCCCATCCCCTTCCCCTTATCGATGGAGCGCAGAGACCATTAATCACAGTTTTTACACAGGATTTTCTGCGGCAAATCACAAGGAATGCATTGTTACGTGATGGGTAAACGTCGGGGAGCTTTTGTTTGTCCACCTAGCGGCCGCTGTTAGTGTAACGCTATCTTAGAACGGCTGTGCCTAATGCGCTTAAACACTTACCTGGTATTATAGGCCCTTTGTCATCGCCAACAATCTTGGGCTTTGTTTGTCTCTATACAACTGGCTGATCTCTCAACTTGATACAAGGCGAAATCTCTGCCCGAATCTTTGTTTATTTGTCGACGAATCTGATTTTGATTCTCGTAAGAAATGTATCCACCGCCGCGTGATGGAGACGTCGACACGAAAACGCATCTACGACCTAATTACGATTACATCTCGAGATCGACGAAGGTAAGAAAATTACGGAATCCTCGCTCGGGATTTATATCGAATCTAAATGATGGAAAAAGAAACACAGGAACGCTGAAGCAAACAAGAAAATAATCTTAGCTTTAGCCTCGAAATATCGTGAACGAAAAAAAAGACGTTTCCTATAATATGCGAAGAAAGGCGAGCGGTTCCTGCGGGGGAGAAAGAAATGCCATTCCCAGTCTTCCTAATTCAGAAATGAAATTGAACCTTATAAGACCTGTCTAAAAATAGCGGGGGAGGAAGAGGGGAGATAGGAGAAAGAGAGAGAGATAGAAGGAAAAGATATAGAAAGAAGAGAGAGGTATAGGAGGAAGAGAGACAGATAGAAGGAAGAGAGATGGGAAAAGAGAGAGAGAGAGAGAGAGAGAGAGAGAGAGAGAGAGAGAGAGAGAGAGAGAGAGAGAGAGAGAGAGAGAGAGAGAGAGAGAGAGAGAGAGAAGGGGGGGGGGAGATAGATCGGAAAGGAGGGGAGGCGAAGGGGGGAGGGGGGTGACCAGCAGACCGTGCAATTCCAATCCTATCAAAATCTTAGTTCTCTTTTATAGCCACAACAAAATTGCCCTCCCTTTCTGGCTTATAATGGTGGCTCAATGGCTCGTTATTCAGCCATTGTGCTCTGTTGACAACTAATCTTTTCCAGTTGCAATTTATCCTTCCTACGTTGCTTTCAAGAGACCTCAATGACCACATAATTGGTGCGTGTTTGTTTCAGCGGGACAACATAGGTAGGGGAGAGGTAAAAGGGGGGGGGAGGGGGGGGAGGAGAACTTAGGAAAACGTGCACTAAGAAGGACCCTCTCCCCTCCTCCCTCCACCCCCCTCCCCCTCCATCTTCTTCGTCTTCATCGTCTCCGTCATCGTCATGTCTTGAGGGATACTGTGATCAATAGGTTTTGTTCGTGCAGTGTACGCCCCGGGAAGGTGACTGCCGTGCGCACGTATTAGAATGCAGTGTTGGTCGGCGGCACTTACCTTGGCCACGGGGAGTGTGGTCGACTTACCTGTGCTCTTGCTTGTACGCACACGCAAACCCACGCTAATGCAGAGCAGGTACACGCACAAACATTTGCCCATGAACACACACACACACACACACACATACACACACACACAAGCGCACACATACAAATGCACACATACAAACGCACTCTCATCATTGTTCTCTTTCCTGTTATTATTGTCCATGGTATTACTAGCGCTGTTGAGTTCATTCTTACCATTAGGCCTACGGAAAGACTGTCATTTCCGATAAATGACTGATTTAAAAACAGTTATTTAGATAAGTTTAGTTGGAGTTGGGATTTTACATTTTCTATGATTTTTTCGTTATAATTCTAATTCATTCTATTACCGGGAAGATGGAAACCAAGAGAAAAAATGTAAATTCATCATAAACATCATATTAGTAAATAATTAGGGGATTTAGTCTTATTCTTCCTACCTTACCAAAATTTCTCGTTATAAAAGTATAAGATGAAAATCGAAGAGAGAGAGAGAGAGAGAGAGAGAGAGAGAGAGAGAGAGAGAGAGAGAGAGAGAGAGAGAGAGAGGAGAGAGAGAGAGAGAGAGAGAGAGAGAGAGAGAGAGAGAGAGAAGAGAGAGAGAGAGAGAGAGAGAGAGAGAAAGAAAGAAAGAAAGGCAGAGAGAGAAGGAACCAAAATCTGGCGTTCCTCAAGGCTCGATACTCAAACCCACTCGCTTTCCTCTTCCACACTTGCCTTAACCACATCCATCTCCATCTCGGCAACGAATTGAAATTTTAATACCTGGTTGAGAGAGAGAGAGAGAAGAGAGAGAGAGAGAGAGAGAGAGAGAGAGAGAGAGAGAGAGAGAGAGAGAGAGAAGAGAGAGAGAGAGAGAGAGAGAGAGAGAGAGAGAGGAAGGAGGAGAGAAGAGAGAAAAGGAGAGAGGGAAAGAGGATAGGATATATATATATAATAGATATAGATATATATAGAGAGAGAGAGAGAGAGAGAGAGAGAGACAGAGAGAGAAACAGAAACAGACAGAGAGGCAGACAGAGAAAATCTTGCACCAGGGAGAATCTAAGAGAACCAAAACAGGTCCTCAGGAAATGGTCCATTAATACACAACGGCGACCAGCCTCCAACAGACCGCGATTCCCTGTAAAACGATACAAGGACAAAAACATTCCAAGGATGTCGCAGCATTGCCTTGGGAGAGCGATGTCCCCGAGCGGTATTAGTACACTATCTGGATCTTCCTGTTCATTAAAGTGAGAGACGAAGTAATAGAAAGAAAGATATTTCTTAAATAAAAGGAAATTGCGGGATGGATTTATATGGCGCTGGGCTTCGACTTTCGTATGGCGATGTAATCTTTAAAATGCGATATCGCTTTGATTTTCTTGTGATATCGTTGTTTGATGATATTCTAATTCCTCATATTAATGTGATCTTCATTGCCGAAGTCCATATAATTGTTATTAAATTAGTAAACAATTACTAGAATAACATGAAGATTGTTATTATCATTGTCGTAATTTTTATCATTGTCCTTATTCTTATTCATATTTCTACCATTATCTTTATGGCGATAATAATGAAAACGGTAACAGTATCACTAACCACGAAACGAGAACAATACCATTATTATCATTATCATTATTATTATTATCATTATTATTATAATTATCATTATTATTATTATTTATTTGTTATTATTATTATTATTATTATTATTATTATTATTATTATTATTATTATTATTATTATTATTGATGTCAATATTATCATCATTATTGATATTATTATTGTTATTATTACTATTACTATTAATGTAATAATGATGATGATAATAATGATAATAACAATAACAATAATCATTACAGTTTTTATCATTATCATCATAATTAATAATATTGTTGATATGACTATTATTATCATTATTACGATTGATAATGATAATAGTAATAATAACGATGATAATATGACAATGATGAAAATAATAATGGTATTAGTAATAATGATAATACTAACATTAATAGTAATTATAATGATTATTATTATCATCATCATTATTATGATTATGATTATTACTCTCATCATCATCATTATTATAATTATTGTTATTGCAATTGTTATTACTCTTCTTCTTACTATTATTATTGTTAATGAGATTATTACTATCATTATCCTTTATTATTATTAATATCGTTATCATTATCATCATCACTACTATTATCATTGTTATCATTACCATTGTTATTGTTGTTGTTGCTGTTGTTTTTTGATATTATAATAATAATAATTATTGTTATTATTATTATTATTACAATTATTATTATTATTATTATTATTATTATTATTATTATTATTATTATTATTATCATTATTATCATTATTATTATTATTATTATTATTATTATTTTATTATTATTATTATTAATAATATCATCATTATTATTGTCATTATTATTATTATCATTGTCATTGTTGTTATTGATATTATGATTATTATCATCTCTACTATTATTATTGTTATTATTATTTAAGAGAGGCCGATTACTTTCTTGATTATATCATTATTACTTTAATTGTCGTCATTGGCGTCAGTTTTTATTATCAATGAAATCATCATCATTATCATCATCACCAGTATCATAAATATGATAAATTATTGCTATTGTTGTTGTTGTTGTTTTGTTATTATTATTATCATTATATTATTATTATTATTATTATTATTATCATTATTATTATCATTATTATATTGTTATTATTATTATTATTATTATCATTATTATTATTATTATTATTA